AGTAGTTATATTTTAATAAACGAAATACCGAAAAATCGAACCGAACCAAAACCAGATATTCGATTTGAATACCCTTAATCCAAATGAAACCGAACTATTGTTTAATTTTACAAAACATAATAAAAATAAAAATTTCATTCCGCACAAGGCGTGGGTCTTATTCTAGTCTTAAAATATTCTGGATATCCTGATCTATCTCACCTGTAAATAAGGTTGAAAAAAAACTGAAAATTAATTGGAGGAGGATGATACAGAAACGTGGAAATTTTGTAGGCTTTAAGACAAAGATGAGGACCCACACGGGGGAAAGAGCAACAAAATCTTGACCGGACTCGACCGCGACCTCCAACTTAAGAATGGCTTACTTATGGTGTGAACAAGTTGCCATCTAGGGCGGCTCCGACACCGACCTGTTTTTTTCTTGTCCTTTTATCATTTTTTCAAAGTTAATACTATAGTGCCATATTAATCATTCCCGTTTCTTTCAGACACTAGGGTAGTTCCATAACATTATTGGAAACTGGTAATTATGAGTTCTGATTTTACTGCCCTAGCTTGACAAGACGGAAGGAATTTTACATGAGAAATATTCCTTTCCCGGAATCGATGTGTGTTCAGATGCATGATATATGACCCACCAGTTCCAAGTTGAATCAATAACTATATGTATAATTGGTTTCATGTTATGAGAATTCCATGCGACATGCACGTCGATGAATAAAGATGCAATCTTTTTTAGACCGGAAGGTAATCCGGACCTTGCAGTCCGAGACCCGACTAATCATTCCAGATAAATGCTGTTTGTTTAATCCACTCCCACCGCAGATAGAACCAAGAAAACCGAGCTTCCACAGAACCCCTGGGCTAACACCGCGTTGGTAACTCCATGCAATTTTGATGAATTGAATCAAACTTTTAAAAGATTTATGTTTCCTTATCTTACAAATAATAACACATGGCAAAATCCACGTGTTTTCACTTGTTTCAAGCTTATATAGAATCTACAACTTAATTAGACACATGCTCTGACTTCAAGGACAATATCGTTATTTTGGTACATAAAAATGATTTTAGTATCGTGTTGCGAATGAAATAACTGTATGTACTTGAAGAGTTTGATAGCATAATGATGGGAGAATGAATTAAAATTCAATGTGAAATTTTACAAAGTAAGCTGAAAATTTTCGATATAGAACCGGTTTTGGACATAGCAAAAAAACATTTAACTTCCAAATATTATAGAACTATTATACATAGATTTATCGCACTCAAATTATTGATCTTTTTAATTAAAATTAATTTAAAAATGTTTATGGTTTCTTAAAATTTGATTCGGTTCTAGTTAAATATACGGTGGAACCAGTGGCGGAGCTAGAGAGGAGGTAAGGGGGGCAACTGTCCCATATGAATTGTTGAAAAATAAATATTTTCATTGGTTTTTTAAAAAAATGATTAAGTGTTAAAATATATGCTAATGCCCCCATGGTTTTAAGTTCAATTCTATGATGAACTTTCTGTCTGGCTCCGCCCCTGGGTGGAACTTCATCAAAGAACCTAAAAGTCACATTGAATCAGTCAAATAACTATGTTCTAGGTTTGTGAAGTTTGATGCTGACAGTAGAGTTAGGCGCGGATTCATATTTTTTGAAAACTTAATCGACAAATAGAAAACAAGTGGATAATACTCACCACAGGTCAACTAATGGTGCGCCAGAGGAACTATTTTTCAAAACTAGAACAATTGTTATGCCAGCGACCAATACAATCTCTGTGATATCCAAAATTCGGATTTTCTTATCACAAAATAGTTATAGATGGTTACTATGAGAAGTTGTATATAGAATGATCGATTATTTACTATCAGTCGTCATATATTGAAATATAGATCATCTTTTTCTTTGGTAGCTGAAATTATGTTAGAACGAAATGAAAACTAAGCGTCCGAACTCATAAAATTCCAAGGATTCGTACTATTTAAAACATCTAGCCTATGATATGAGTGATCCGTTTTCTAGTATAAACCTACTAATATGAGAATCCTCACTAAAGCAAAACCACTCGCCTATTACCTTTACTTTTTAAACTGAACCTAGACTTTTGGACCTAAATTTCTTACTTTTTATACACATTGTTAAACTGATCCTGGAAAAGTGATATGTCGCTGCCAATTGACGAACAACAAAGATATTGGTCACGCTGGAAATTGTTAACAATCCGTGAACATTTGTAATATTGTTGCTGGTAAATAAAGTAGTTAGAGCTCATTGAAAGTTAATTAAATACTCCAAGTGTTTATGAAAATTTAAACCATAGTTCACCTAGTTAGATTCTCTTTAAAAAATGTTTTAGGCGAAACGACATTCAGATATTAGCGCTTGCTTATTTTGGGTTTTGAGAAATATTAGGATCTGGTCCAGTCTTCCCAGTTAACTAAAAACCGTAATTAATAATCTAATTAAATATAAATTAAATATAAATGAGTAACAAAATATTTATCGAAAGACAAAAAAAAAAAAGCTTTTGAACATATGAATTAACAAGAAAAAATAAGTATTTCTTTGGTCTAAATGTTGCAGACTCGTAGTTGTTGATCCTAGGTGGGGAGTAATACGACTATAATCTAATTAAGACTATCTTTAAGTCATCGTCCAAAACTTCTCCTTGGATAATTCTACATGACGACGTCCCTATGATGACATCACTACTATGCATCTGTGTGCATGATGCAATTCAATAACCTTACGTGTATTTTATTTGTCTATTTTTTTTTTTTTTTTTTTTTGTCTTTAGTTGCAGGAAATTTACGCTCCCTAGTGTTCACGTTCAACGACGTAAATAGAAAATGTCGAAAACAGAGAAGGAAAACTTTAAATGATTTCAAACCTCCTGAAATCATAAAACTAACTCTCAAGTTTTACAATTTTGAGCCTACTCAAATTGTACTCGTATTTATCTGAATAAAATTCATTTAACCGAGTTAGTTACAAATATTTTTTTTCTTAAGTATGTGAATTTCATTAAGAAAATAATGACACAGGGATATACATTTTAGTGCATCTAATATTGGATTTTCATTTACAAAAAAAATATATATTGGATTTTGGGAGTTCTTACGACAGATTTTGACGTGAATTTGTATAAACGAGAGAGTAGTGCACAGATTTTTTTTTTTTTTTGTAGTGCACATATTCTCAATAACATACGGAACTAGTGGGGGAACGGATCATTATGACCATACGAAAAATGTTGTTCTTAATTTGTACGAAATAAGCAATTGATCGACTCGAAGAAGTTCACAGCCATCACATATGAATATAATAGGAATACTAAAGTAACTAATAGTTCAAACAAAACCAAATGGAATAATATATATTTAGTTGGAGATTTCTTGAAATATCAATAAGTCCCATAGAAAATAGAACAGTTAGCGATGTGCTAGTAAGTATAACCAGAGATTAGCAATTCAGTTTTTTTCTTTTTTTTTCTTTTTGTTGTTAGTCTTTTTTAATGTTAATTAGTAAGTATATGTAGAGTCTACTTGTTCCAAGTCATGGGACTTTTAGCCAAACATAATGGTCCAGGCACGTGTCTTTTCTGAATGGTGGTGAAGCATTCACGATTCAGCAGCCTCGTACGCAAGTAATCCCTACGTCATTCTGTTTGCATCACGCATGCATACGCTTTTTATCCCTTTCTTCTTTGTTCGTTTTCTTTATCAAAGTTTTACATGACTTTTTTTGTGTGACTGAAGTTTTACATGACTTGGCGTGGAACTTTTGAAAATAAAATGTAAATAACTATTTTGACAAAAAAGTGTAAATAATTAATATGTTGGACTCATTATTCTCCTTCGAAATCAAATACAATCTCACATATTTTATAGTTTAATATCTGATATGAGGTCCATCGGGCCTCACAATCTCACATATTTTGTGTGCTTTGTGATTAAATAACTTTTCCACCATATGTTATTGTAAATTTTAAAATTATAACATTAACTATATGTTTATATCAAATCAAGATCCTAATTTCTTAAAAGAAATTACTAAAAAAAAGAAACGGATCTAGTGTAAATGTATTCTAAGCACATGTTCTTAATTAGTCAGCACTAATTATGGTATCAATATTTTTATATGGAGAATTATTATCGTGAGACTGTATTTGAAATGGACCTTTTTGGAGGATATTATTTCTATGTGGGAAAGCATTTCAATGATGTTTAAAGACTCAGAATAAGATCATTCAGATGTCAATACTTTGAAGAAAATCCGACATAACCTACTTTTTCACGATGGACTCATCATTAGTTTCTCCCGTAGTTTGTATTTGGCAGATTACTTTTCTGATGGCTTAGGTTTTTTTTTTTTTTTTTTTTTTTTGGTGCTACTGGCTTAGGTTTATTTTCCAAAGACTTGTTTTGGTGTTTTGAACTATTTTTGCTATCGTCGTTGATGGACTTATCAAATAACTGAATTTCCGAAGAGGAAAATTGGAAACTTTAAGTGGGAACCCGTGGATTATAAAAAA